GTTCGGCATGGTCTGGGCACAGACATTTTGAAAACCCCGGTTTGGCAAGTGAAAGACTCACTGTCTCCCTGCTCTTAGTACAGGGGGAGGCCCTTTGAAATATGAGCTGTTGAACTGGACGCAGATTGAAGGGGTGAGGAAGGCAGATGGAGGCATCTATCTCTGTATGGCGTACAACAAGGTGGGCAATGCCACCACCAAAGCAACGCTGCTTGTCACCAGTGCAGGTACCACCCTCCTGCCCACAGTGTGCATGTGGTCGGTCTGCCACCCAGAGCCTGACAGGCAGACAGGATTGCCCTGAAGCCATGACATTCTCAGCTCACAGTGGCAGGGCAGATTGATTTTTGCCCCTGGTCATACCCATATGGCTCTACTGCCAGTCACAGAAGCACAAGGCAGAGCTGGTTCCTGGAGCCTTATATCCTCCCTGGCAAATACCTTGTGTCAGTAGAGTTCCCGGAGAGAAAACAATAGAAGTGGAGGGAAAGGCAATCAGGGATGAAAGGAAGAGAAAGACAATGGAAGGGAGAGAGCAGTGGTAGGTAGGGGTTGATGGAGACCACTGGCAGAGAAGGCTTTGTCTCTGTCCCTGCTTGCAAGGGAAATGGGATAAGCAATAGTATCTGAGGCTGGTCCAGAGAGGTTGGGAAACTAGTCTGTGCCAGCACATGTGCAGGCAGGCTGCTGTGGAGCCTCTGTTTCAGCCAGAGGCAGATCAGTCTCTGGGCTCCGCCATAGTGTTCGGTGGAAAAAAACCTGGATGACAAGCAGCTGCAGGGGCTGGGGCAGAGCCTGGAACAGCTGTCATGGGGCCCCTATGGGCACTGTCCCTGGCTTTCCCCTCCTCCTTCCTTTTTCTTGGCCCTTCTACAGAGGTTGCCCCATTTTGCTCTCCAGCGAGCCTGGCTAGCGAGGAAGAGGTGGATTATCATGATGATTACTGATGCGTCCCTGCCCCTGCCTTAGATGAGCTATCCCTGGGCTACAGAAACTGGAAGGGGGAAAGCAGGGGAAGCAGCTGGCCTGGGAGGAAAAGCTTTTCTTGCTTCCTCTGGTGTCAAGATGCCTCAGTCTCTGAGATCCCAGCAGCCATGGGTGTGGGTTTGATCTCTCATGAAGGGTGTTAGAAGAGAAGCGAGAAACTCCTGGCTCATGGCTGTCATTATTAACACTGCAGGAGCCACTCACACCAACAGTGTTAACCACCACTGCTGTGCAGCTTGGTGCTGTAGTAGTGAGGAAGGGGCTGTTGTTCTCACCCACCCACTTCTGCGTCCAGTTTCATTTCACGCAGTAGAAAACCTGGTCTTGCTTTTTCCCCCCACCCAAGCTCTGTGCAAAGAAGCAACACAAAGGCTGTGTGTAAGTGGGCCATAGGCCTTTTCTCACCCTCTGTCTCGGGGTGCATTTCCCTGTTTAGAGGAAGCTGCCTTTGGCTTGCAAGCACTCAAGGAAAGAAAATGATTAGCTGTTAAATTGGCTTCCTCTGAGACCTGTAACCATTTGCATCCTATCTGCAGCGTGGGTATAAATAACAGCCTGTTTCCGGGTAGAGAAGAGCCTGGCACTCATTTATCTTTTAAAAGCTTCCAAGGAGTTTTATCCCTGGCTGCTTTGAGTAGAGAGTGAACGTGACTGCCCAGTGGTTCCTTACAGCTCCCAGGCTCCAGTGCCTTCCATTGGGACCCTTTGCAAAGAGCAGCCCTTTGCAAACCACACGTGGGCATGTGTGTAACACTGCAGGCTTGGGAGATTTTCTTTCCCAAGTCCTGGGGACTGGTTCAGGACATCATGCCTGCGGAGACAGGAAAATGCATGGATCGTTTGGCTGTATGTTTTCCCTCTTTACTCTGTCGGCTTTGTATATTGCTTATTTTCTGGGATTGTCTGCATTTCTGGGCAGGGACTTTGGTTTCCTCTGTTCTCTATTATTGTGCAAATATGGTACATTATTGTTGTCAGCCTCATGACTAAAAATTAAGTGATGAAAATAATACAAATACAATAATTTAATATCATTTAGCTTGAGCTAGCAGTGGGATGGGACTGCAGTATTAGAGCCAAACCTCAGAGATGCTCACATCTGGATCTGAAGGCTCCAACAAGCCAACCCAGGATGCTGGCTCCAGGGACCCTTGAAGCTTGGGATCATTCACATTCAGACCTGGCTTGGAGACTCTGTCCTGATGCTGATGTCTCCCATCCCTGCCCCTGTCTTGATCTGTGTCCCAAGTTTGAATGGACTGTGCCAATTCTGCAGGGCTAATTCCTTTCTTCGACCCCCTCCAACCCTGCGTACATGGTGGGTCTGGAATATTCAGAATATGGGCCTCCTGATTGGCTGGAAGTGGCTACACACATTGTGGTGTAACAGTCAAGGTGATCGCGTGAACTGTGCAGGTGTCTGCACCATTTCTTGTCTGACATCACTTCTCTTGGGGGCACAAGGGCAGGCTGCTGGGGTTAAGGAGAGATCTATGAACGCAGGGCCCCCAGCAGCCTGGAATAGCCTCTGTGCTATGAAAGAGAGCATCAGGTAGATATTCCTGGCATTCACCAGCATGCCAGGGAAGAAGACCCGGCTTGGCTCACCTTGGCTGTCTGTCCGGGGGGTGAGAGGATGTGCCCCCGACTCTTTCCAGCTGCCCGAGCTCCCAGGGAGTTCAGAGGGATTTCGAGTGCCCATGATCGTGATTGGAACACTTCGACCACCTGCACCCCGCGAGCTTCCTGTCTCAGACCAGAGGCCTGCCAGCAATGTGCCCCGGCTGCCCAACCTGCAAGTGAGAGCATACAGCTCAGGCCCCTCCCGCATGTGCAGCCTGCTTCCGAGATGGCTCAGACCTGCTGCCCCTCCAGTGACCAGCCCATGGAGGAAGCTTGGCTTGGATAGTCCTACAAGTCTCAATATGCCAGGAAGGGGATGCAATCAGAATAGCTCAGAGAAGCTCAGAAGGCCCTGGCTCTGATACCCGCTGTCTGAACTTGCTGGTGAACAAGTATGGATCCTATTCTTTGGGTGCCCAGTACGTCAGTGAAGCAATGGAAAGAGAAACCCTGTCTCCAAACATCTCTCTAAATAAACCCTCAGTTTGCCTTCCAGTGCAGTGATTTCATTATCAGGTTCCTTTGTACCCATTTCAAATTTCTCTGCAGCCATCTCTGAGCCATCCTAAGACTGCAGTCCAGAGTAGTCACGATCATGCCATACCTCCCCGAAGAGTCCAGAGACACATCTCAGCTGCACCAGTGCACATACAGCATAACCTCCCTGAAGTGGATAGAGCCACTCCAAACTTATGCTGGCATAACTGACCTCAGAATCTGGTCTTCTGTGTAACTGTGGTGTGTTGGCCAAAACCCCAGCAGGGGAAATATTGTATTCCTTCATGTTAAATACCCTCAGTGGTTTCAGTTGGATCTAGGATCCCTCTCAGCTTGCTGCCCTGAATTGCAGTGTAGTGATGCCATGCTGCAGTGAAGCAGCAGCTGCATCCTGCCTTGAGGGGACTATTTCAATGATGGGCAAAACAATCCCTGCCTGTATCTTGTGCAAAGTACTGTGGGGTGCTTGTGGGAGAGAGCTGCTGCGTAACCATGAAGCAGCATAATTGCTGGTCACGTGGAGAGGAGCGGAGCAATGAGGTGGTCACCAGGGAGTGTTTAACTAGGCCTTGAACTGCAGCTCAGCGCAGAACTGCTGCCCAGCAACATTGAGGTTTCACCCAGAAATGCTGCCTGGTTTGCGGAAAGTGCCTGGTGCCTGCTGCTGCTCACACCTTCCCTGTGCAGGAAGGTGGCCAGTTCCCTGACTTCTTCATAGTGTTCAACTCAGTTCTGTTTTCCAGAGTAAGCAAGCTGCATGCAGCAAGCTGATGCATGCACCTGCTCCCTTGGGTTTCCCCCAGGAGTGTCCAGCCCCTCAGGTACAGCTGAGTCCCTGCCCATTGTCTGAAGGTGTGATTTCAGGGTGTGAAGCCGCAGCACCTAGCCACCAAGTGACCCAGCACCCCATTCACTAATGTCTCATCCTCTCAGACATACACAGCTTGTCTTCTCTTCTGAGGCCTCTTGTGACTAAACCCGACACTATTTACCATGTGGCTTGGAAGCTGTAGGTCCTCATTTCCCTGAAATCACCTAATTTCCCTTCCTGGAAGTTCTGTCTGCAGGGACAGGATGGCTGTTTCATCAGAATTCATGAGCAAAGAATCAAGCCATGCAAAAGAGAGGCAGAGATCCCAGCACAAGCCAGCAGTCTCACAAATGCCATGTTTTGGGGGTCTTCTGGATCTGAACCTAGGTGGAAACAAGGGAAGGCTGAGTGCACACTCAGTGCTGATAGTCTTTGGGTACAATCTGTACGTGTGTCAGGGTGTGCGCGCACCTGTACATCTGTCAGCATGCACGATTGGTGTGTGCCAGACTATGAGCATGTCCATGAATGTAATTGGTGTGTGCAGTCTGTGTGTGTTTGTTGGTGAGCACAATCAGCATACAAGGCTGTCAGCATGTGCAAGTATGCCATCTCTGTGAGGCTGTCAGTGTGTGCTATCAGTGTGTGTCATCTCTGTGAAGTTGTCAGCGTGTGCTATCACTGTGTATCATCCCTGTGAGGTGGCCAGCATGTGCTACCGGTGCATACTGTCTCTGTGAAGTTATCGGTGCGTACACTTGCTGAGTCCAGTTCGTGCACACGGGGGTGTTGGCCTACAGGCTCTGCGGCTGTCTAGAAATATCCCCGCTGAGCACAGCGCCTGCAGCTGCCCTTTTTGGTAAGATCATGAGCACAGGAAGCCAACGTGTGAAATGTAGATGTTGAGGGGAAAAAAAAAAGGCAACCACAGGTCACGTGGTTGGAAAGCAAGATAGGAAGCCAGCTCAGCCCAGCCTCGTAGACAGAAGGAGGCAGACATTGGCGAGG